TACTGCCGTAGGGTTTGGCATAGCAGCAATTTTTGAAATGAAGCAACATGGTTCACTGGCTGTGGATGTTCTGCAAGCAGCTGTGGAGCACTGTGTGAAAAGAGAAGGTGCTGGGATAATCCTATGGGACCTTTTCTTTGCAGTCCCTCCCCTTCCCCTCTCTCCTCCCCCAAAATGTCTGCATAGCCAGGAAGCTGTGCCTGTAGATGTATGTCTCTTGTGAAATGCTTTGCCTAGAGTAAAGGCTTGGAGAACCTCTACGAAGCAAAATGGATACTTGAAAGGTTTTGTTGACAGCTCTTTTTCTGTCAGTGTATAGAGAAACTATATATTCAAAGCAAAATCATATGATTATTTGGTGAAGCTTAACAGAAGTTCTGAAATTCCATGGAAAACATCTCTGCAATAAGGATAACAATGTCTTATGCCAAGAAACGGGCTTGTGTGAATTAGTATGTGGTTTGTATTATTGTAGCTTCCCTCAAGATAATCTCAAAATAAGTTGATCTTTATTTCATAGATGCATCTTGCACTTGAAATGTTTATTTAATCTTTGCAGGCTTGGTAAACTGAGCTTGTTCGAATGCTTTTAACTTACGTTTTCTTTATCACACTGTCTTTCTTCCAAGAACACTTTTCCTCATCTTCAATTTAAATGATAGGATTCCTTTTTATGTGACCCAAAAGGTGTCAGTTGACAAATTACACGTGTTTTACTGAATTGACTGCAATTGGGATACTTCTTGTTTGGATTAATAGCTTATTTTTGATTGTGGTTCTTCATTTTAAAACAGTACCTGCATGTCATATAACTTACATTGTGTTTCATCACTTAGATTATGTAGCCTAACACTATGTGTTCTCATTATTTTTCTATGAAAAGCCAGATGTTTGAAAGCCTGATTTAATAAGCAGTACACTCACTGTACCAGCTTCTGATATGACTCAAGATCATGACTGGAAAACAACTTGACTACTTTCGGTTGCATGACTCTGCTAAGCCTACTAGTCAGGGTGAGAAAGAAAGTTTCCATATCCTCAGCAGTTGAGAGAGCTAACAAGACCAATAAATAACCAGTATGCTGCTAGCCTGTCTTCTGGGCAGCTGCTGTATCTCGCCAGCTGTCCTAAGATTCTGCATGTCATGAGTCTTCCCGCCTCTGTTGGTGAGAGTAGCAGGCTCTTCTGCACTGTTAAACACTCAGTCTATCTGCATTTGCCTTCCTACCTTCCTGCCAGGAAATAGCTTTAAATCCAGGATTTCTGCAATTCTTACCTAATTTCAGAGTGATACGGCAGGATCCTCCATGTGGAACAACTTTCTGTGCTGTTTTCATCAGTGGCTTGAGCAGACAGATTAGGGCCACCGTGTTCTCACGCTTGATACTGTTTGTTCTCCCTTGAATGTGTTTCAGCATCTTGAGTTCTTGTATTCTAGTACCCGTCCACGTCATTCCTCTAAAGAATCTGCCGTGAGCTTATGCTGTCATATTTCTGTAGTGTGGAACAAAAGCATAGGGAATGACAATCTGTGTGAGATGTACCCTGAGTATGGATTAACTTTGGTTAAAGGCTGAAATGAATAAATATATCTGCTTGTTTTCCTTGGAGTCTATCAAGCTACATATTTAAAATGCCCTACCTAAGAAACCAGTCTCAACCTTAGATCTTTTGCACTCATTATTGTCAAATAATGGCTCCATGGGAGACAGATTCTTAAGAACTTCAGTTCCTTCTCACATTTCTTTCTTGGCACAGGATATTCCACACTGATAAGATGATGAATTCATCCTCATTTTCTTCTTCTAGGATGTTGTTGCAAGATCTCTCTGGGAGATCTGCACTGGTGGAAAAAATACAGCCTTAGTGCTGTGCCAGGTTTTTTTGTTTGTTTGTTTGTGTTATTGCTGAGAAACTATCAGTATGGTTTCCCAGTTACCTCCAAAAAATACTTCATGAATTATATAATGTCTGCAGGTGGCTGTGCGGCATACCGGATGTGCATTTTCCCTTGAAGCCATGTGAAATCTCATTTTCTTACTATAAAGTGGATTGAGTTGGAAGTAAACTTGTCACCTAGCACTACCTGAGCTCACTCAAGGCATTAAAGAATTGTTGTCCATATTTGAAGAGAGGTGCTGTGAAAATCAAGAGTAAGATTTCAAACTTCTTTATGTTAGAATTGCAGAAGAACAAAAGAAGGAAAAATTGCAAGCATAAATGTTCTGAACAGAAATTTTCCCCATGTTCTGCTCCTGTCACAGGCTTTTTTGGTCCCTAGATTGTGCTTTTTACGTAAGAAGGAAGAATATTAAAAATTTTGATGACATTATCATATATAAACAGATTTGGCTTGGTGACTCTGTCCTCCTGACTTCCAGCAGAGGAAGGCTTACTAAAAAAAAAAAATCTAATTCACTGAAAAGCTTCTTTCTTTGGCCTGCCTCTTAAATATTTGAAACTCGGAGAAGTCAGCCCATCCTGTCAGCCTTTCTGTGATATATTCAGAAATTTAGAACGTCTCATGATAGAGAATAGGGACAAATATTCTTTCACGTTTAAGTTATATGACATGAGTTGCTACCAGAAGGTGTTAATGGGCTTTGTTTTATTTGTTGGGGTATGTGGTGGGTTGGTTTGTCTCTTTGTTTTTTTGGTTGTTTTTTTTTAAGACATTGAGTGAATTTTACTTTCAGAAGGTTAAGGGCTAACACTAGTATTTGAAACAAAGTATCATGTAGGAGAACTTTGAGATCTTTTTCAGCTGTTTCTGCTGGTGGCTTGCATTCCTACCAAGCACTCTAGGATCTCACCTGAAGAAAGAACACTCTTTATTTTGTAAACTCACTGTAGTTTGGTATAAACAAATCTTCACTAATGTTTAAGATACATTGAGAATTTTCAAAAGATTTTCTTGGTGAAGAAAATGTTTTGGAAAGTGATCAAATGGATCAAACTGAAAATTGAAATGTAAACATTTAATGTACATTTGTTTGATCCAGTCTTTCTGCACATTGGCAGGCTGTTAGACTGGCAGGGGGTTATAGTGGTGCAGTTCTGCAGGGAGATGGCCCTGCCAGTTCTAGGCAGAGACACTTGATTTCTTTGGTCATGAGTTGTCATTGAGAGCTGCAGGGAAAGAACCATAGCCTCTGACTTAAAACTTGAATGGAGGTGGAGCCTTTCACCATGGTGCACTCTTAGGGGGACAGAATTTGAAGCTGATGACTAGCAATATACCAACATCACATCTATATCCTAATTCTGAATGCATCAAAATCAAAGGTGCTGATGCTATCATAATACTCCCCAAGATACCCATCTTGTGCTTTGGCTAGGCCCGCTGTGTGTTGTCCAACTCCACTGTGCCTCTGCTTCCATCCCTGTGTCTGCTGTAGCCTTTGTATAGCCTTTGGCCTCCAGCTGTGGGAATATAGAGGGATGGAGGAAGGATGTCTGTGTGTCCGTCTGAAGGAATAGACCAGAGCACTGTGGAATGGGTAGGAGTTCTGGGCCTGGGGAATAGGGTGAAGGAGGCTGACTGCAGTGACTGGACATCCAGTATGCCAAGGAGAAGAAGAGTCTTAGGACTGTCTTGCGTATATAATAATAATGAGTAGAATAAGAAGATGCTGCCACTTCCAGCTTCACAAAATCCTGCTGCCCTATGTTAAAAAACAATAATGTCATGACACTTGGTGGAGTATTATGATTTTATATCTATCTGTGTGCCATAAGTCAATGTAATGGTATTGCTATTCATGACTAGAATTTCTATTTCCTGACTAATGCTCCTGCTTAGTAGGTGTGAAAGTGAATGCCTTTTTTATAAACAGTTTTGACCTCTCTAGTCTTTATTTGACATATACCTTTAGCCAGAAACTTGCATTTTCATGGAATTATAGAATAGATTGGGTTGGAAGGGACCTTTAAACATCATCTAGTCCAACCCCCTCTGCAATGAGCAGGGACATCTTCAACTAGATCAGGTTGCTCAGAGCCCCGTCCAACCTGACCTTGAGTGTTTCCAGCGATAGGGCGTGATGGGGCATCTACCACCTCTCTGGGCAACCTGTTCCAATGTTTCACCATCCTCATAAAAAAATTTCTTCCTTATATCTAGTCTGAATCTACCCTCTTTTTCTTTAAAACCATTACCTCTTGTCTTACTGAAACAGGCCATACTAAAAAGTCTGTCCCCATCTTTCTTATAAGCCCCCTTTAAGTGTTGAAAGGCTGCAATAAGGTCTCCCTGGAGCCTTCTCTTCTCCAGGCTGAACAACCCCAACTCTCTCAGCCTGTCCTCATAGGAGATGTGTTCCAGCCCTCTGATCATTTTTGTGGCCCTCCTCCGGACTTGCTCCAACAGGTCCATGTCTTTCCTGTGCTGGAGGCTCCAGAGCTGAATGCAGTACTCCAGGTGGGGTCTCACCAGAGTGGAGTAGAGGGGCAGAATCATCTCCCTCGACCTGCTGGCCATGCTTCTTTTGATGCAGCCCATTTTTCTCTCACTTGTGGATATTAAGATGTTCCAGCAGCTACAGTATGCCCTGGGGTAGCAGCAATGAAAGGGCACTTAAAGGACAAGGAAGTAAGGAGAACAGGACCAATATGAATGAGGCATTTGTAAAAGACATTCGAAATGGAAAAAGGGAACAGAGTGAAAAGGGCACACAGGAAAAAAACCAGTTTTCTAAGGAATGAGAAAGAAGAATTAGCTATCATTTAACTACCAGAATTTTGCTAGTAATCAGAAGGCACTGTGATTTTAAACTTTTTATTTGGAAGTGTTCAATTGTCTACACATGCATGTGTGTGGAAGGAGAATCTTTTCATGTTGAACCAAGATATCCAACTTTTCACTTCTGTTCAGATATCAGATTTAGGAGTGCATGTGTGTATGCTGAGTACTGACTGAGTTCTTATAAAATGTTTTTAAGTAAAAAATTTTAAGCAAGAGCACCAATTGTAGATGTTTACTATTAAAACTTTCTTTGTAGGTTATTGCACTTAAGAATGAACATTGAAGACAAGCTGGGAGGATTATTTCTTAAATGTGGTGGCATAGACCAAATGCAGTCATCCAGGGCTATGGTAGGGATGGGTGCAGTATCTGACCAGTCTGGAGTATCGGGAGAACGGCAAGAGGCAGTGCTTCAAGATCGGACTATGGCGCACCAAGAAATTCTTGCAACAGATGAAGTGTTACAGGAAAGTGAACTTCGACAGCAAGAGATGATTTCACATGATGAACTCATGGTCCATGAGGAGACGGTAAAAAATGATGATGACATGGATACGCAAGATAGACTTCCTCAAGGGCTGCAGTATGCTGTTAATGTCCCTGTAAGCAATTTCTTTGTGAAATATTGGAGAAATTACTAGGAAGCTTAATCTGGTAGTCTAATCCTACTCTGGCAAGAATCTATTAATTGCTTGTTTGGATTTTGATTATCAAAATATTTATGAATGGATGCTATTTATGAAAATGTCATTTGCCTCTGGCTGTGGATAAATTTTGCCAATTAAGTATAATCTTTAAGTGTCTGTTTTATAAATATTTTATAAGCAGGCTGTTACCATAGAATTAATGCATTAAAATGTGCTCCTTTAAATATATTTAATGTTCAAGGGTAACTACAAACCAGAATAAATAGTGTTACTCAAAGGTGCATACTGTTTATGCTGTTCATAGTACTATTTAGTTTCTGCTATAGGAAGCATCTTGTATGTTTTCAAAGTATGTGGACGCTTAGCAATTGCATTCACACTGCAGGTTGGACTGTGACACTTCATACATGACCATAAATATGCCCCTCCTTGATATCTAATAGAAGGTGTACCTCAGCTTTCCCACAGAGTATATAGATGACTTCCTTTTGAAAACAGAGCGTCTGTCTGTAATGCAGCACATCATCACTGTTACCCTTCAAACATACAGGATATTTACCAGGACTTTAAAAGTAGATAGCCTTATACACGAAGAATAACCTTCAGAAAGGTAGCATTGTTAAAACACTACTCCGTTAGCTGTAGATCAGGTGGTTCAGGTGTTAGAAAAAATGTAAGAGTATCATGCTCTTTATTAAAGTTTACATTAGATCAAGAAATATTTTTTGGAAAAAAACCTCATTAGTAGTGTTCTTCTTTTCTTAAAAAATACTTCTGTCTTAAATATATAATAAACTATTCCGTTAAATCTTGCATTGACAACAACATGGACTAAAGTAAAATAGGTATGAAAAACTGAATGGTTTTACAGATGGAAGTGATTTTAATATAACTGATCTCAAAATCACCACAGGTCAGAAAGAAAAAAGACCTTGGGAGGTGAATGAAAGGATACATCAAAATGTCACTGTAGAAATTAACTATGCCCTTTTTATTTAAGATACTTACTACTCCTTTCACTTAAATTTCTGAAAGAATGAAGCCACGAGATAATTCCCTTAGAAAAAGGTTTTCTGTTTCAGCAGTTTGTCATCTTCTAAAATTGAAAAATTGCTTTTCTGTAGTGAGAACCTTACCTGAAACTGGCACTTGGTATCTTAACAGATCAGTGTAAAGCAAGAAATTACCTTTACTGATGCATCTGAACAACAGAAACGAGACAAAAAACAAATACGAGAGCCAGTAGATTTGCAGAAAAAGAAGAAAAGAAAACAGCGTTCACCAGCAAAAGTAAGACATTGATTTGGCAAAACCAAGATTAAAAGAACCTGAAGATTTGGTTGACTATGACTAATTTCATTAGCATTTGAAGTAGTTAGGCTGGAAATTGTTTGTTTGCTCAGTAAAGATGCAGTTCTGAAGTTCACCAGAGACCCAAAACAAAACCTGATATAACAGTGTTTTTCTTTGAACTCTTTTTAGCAACATGAACCCTTGACATATTTTAACATCTGTCTTTCCAGGCAGTTCTCTTTCCAAATATTTTTTTTTAAATTATGAGTCAGTAGCTTTGTAGACAATTTATAAATCATTACTCTGTATCTATCTAATAATAGTTGTGCTTTTCTGTGAGCCTGATAATTTTATATGCTTCATGCATAGTAGTGAACAGTTTTTAAAAAGAAATCTAAAATGGTAGTTTTGAAAATTCTAAAAAGTTTACTAATATATATAAAATAATTTACTGGTAGGGAATATTCCTGTGGTCATAATCATCTTCATATATGTATTTATTTATATCAAAAGATTCTTACCATAGCTGCTGGTTTGTTACTTCAAAATTTGTTTTGTAGATCCATTCATGAAGAGTATGTATCCCTGTATGTCTGAAAACAATTTTCTTCTATTGAGATGCACTTCAGATAAAACCAGAATCATTTCACCTCATGAGGTAGTTGTGCTATATCTTCTAGTAATTCCCCAAATCAGTATTAATCTTCAGACTTAAAATAGAACATATACAGGCTGCTCTGATAGGCAAAAATCAGTTATATATTATCACACAGCAGCATTAAAATAAGCCTACTCTGAAATCAACCCAGACTGTGTATACATTGAAAGAAAACTCACCCTAACACCAAGAAAAACTCCAAAACCTCCTTTTTGTTGGCCTGGGAGTGGGACCACTCAGTCCTCCCTCAGCACTGTCAAATTAGGTTGCACCTGTAGTATTCTTGGAAAGTTGAGAAGTTGTTTCAGATTGGGTGTGGAAGCAAGTTCCAAATCCTGTGCATCAAGATGCTTTTCCCTTTGATAGAAAAAGGAGATCTAGGTTGAGTACATCCACAGATCACTTCCATGGAAACATGGCAAGGTAGGAGAGGCATGTGTCCCTCTTTCTACAGACATGTACTTGCATGCTTCCTTTTTATCTCCCAATCTGTCAGTGTTAGTCTTTTGAGATGACAAAAGATTGAAAAACGATCAGGAGAATTGTTAAACAGGTTCTTTTTCTGTCTCTCTTCCCCCTTTTTTTCAAAGTTGTCAGAGTAGAAAGGCAGAAAGAAGCTGAAGGACTGACATAGGTGAGAGCCTACTGCAGTTTAAGTTAGTATTCCCAGAGTAGAGGTTGATTTTTCCATCCAAACAGCAGCTGGGACTTTTACAAATGGAAGTCAATTAACATACTGAAACATTTTAAATTTTATTTTATATTAATGTAGCCATCATATCAATAAAAAGTCATTAGCTTTTATGAATCCTGTCTACTTTTCCCTCTTCCATGCACACAAACACACGCGCACATGCGTACACACACGCATGCACGTGCGCACACACACACATACACACATACACAAGCTTTTTTGTTGCTTTTATTAGGAAAACTGCACTGACAAAGTTAACTGTCTTCATTTAAGAGGTGGTACAATGAATGGATGCAGTAGAAGAGCCCAGATTTAGGATAACCATGAAATTAAGTGTATTTTCTGCACAATTATTTTAAAATTTCAATATAATATATGAAAAGCATTTCATAACCTGTATTTAAAGTTATTTTAAATAACCAGTCAGTGTTTCATTAGCTGTATGTTGTTACAGAACAGAGTTTTTGTAATTGTCTCTATCTGTGACTTACTGGAGCTGTAACATACCAATCTTACAAACGTATGAATGTGCTTGTCCTTCAGAGTGAATGCACAAGAATTTGTTAGCTTGAGACTTTCACTCTTGCTGAGTTTTGATGCAGCAGAATTAAAAATTGTTTAAGTAGATCCTACAGTATTTGCTACTATTGCAGAGATACTATGTCAGTTATTGACTCTCTCTTTCTCATCACTGTCATTATCATAAAACCTAAAACATCGTAGCTAATCAAATTGCAGATGTGTTTCCCCAGCAGACTTTTATTTTTGGTTAATAACAAGGGACTAAACTGTTTTATTTAAGGTTACTTAAGCTCTTCTTTATAGTTCTGTTTCCAGTTAAGTAAGACTTTTGGAAATGTAATTTGTTTACTGGTTTTCTTATTCTCTTGCCAGAGATAGTAGAGAGTTTGGGATTTGGTTTTTTTTTCTCTTTTTGACAGATTAGAGAAAACCTGTGATAAGCTTTATTAAATAAGCTAGATATGGTGCAATTTTTTTCATTTAAGTTTTTTCAACTTTTTGTAAAATAGCGGCTTTGTTTGACAGCAAAGCAATTGAGTGTGGCAAGTTGAATTCATCAAGGAGATGCTCTAATATGTATATTGAGTGAGCAATACTTTATTGAGTGAAAAACCTGAAAGGGGAGAAGAATAATACTATTTTCTTGGTTGTTTGGCTTTGGGGTTTTGGTTTTTAAAATATAATTTTGCCTCTGAGACTATTGGTATTATGTAGATATAGATAATTTGTATGACTATCCTGGATAAGTTTTAATGCCTTTTAGCAAACATTTACATCTGTGATTTGAAAAAAGAATATAACTTTTCACTTTTGCTTTAAAATACGATTATCCATGGTTCAGTGCCCAGAGGTGGTTTGGTTACTTTGCATCCTTTCCAACAGACGGACAAAGTAAATGGTAGCATATAAAGTGACTCAGTAAATAGGGGAGCGCTAAGCTGATTTTCCATGAGCTGCTTTTGTCTCCGTCCTGTTGAAATATCTCTTAATACACAGCAAGACACAAGTTGGATTGGACTGCAATTGGAAATGTGTACTAAAAGCCTAACGCACAGCTTTGTAGAAATTAGCATTGTTATACCTGAAATATTTAAGTTTTCTGCATCGAAAAAATTAATGTTTTTTTTTTTTGTAGTTAATAAGACATCTTTAGAGGGTAGTGTGAGAACAAATTTTACTCTTTTTAAAATAGATCCTTACAATAAATGAGGATGGATCACTTGGTCTGAAAACCCACAAATCTCATGTTTGTGAGCATTGCAATGCTGCCTTTAGAACCAACTACCATTTACAGAGACATGTCTTCATTCATACAGGTACTGCTTGACTTCAAATTTATCTTTTCTACTATATAAAGAGTTGTTTACTTATGTTAAAAATGTTTTCAGCTCTATGCGAATTTCAGTTTTAAGAGTGTAGCTAACTTGGCATCTAAGCTTAGAGATTCCATGCACCAAAGTGTCAAAAGAATACCAGAAAAAAAAATCAACATATGTTTAATAAACTGAAGACCTAACTGTTTACAAGGTTTCTTTTCTTTCTTTATCAGAAAGTAATGGGTTGACTTGTAGCCTAAGTGCCAAAATTGACCCCTTTGTAAAATGTGCTCCGGCTGCTTATTTGCCTGATGAGGTATCTCTCTGGTTCGGAGAAGTGAAAAAGGTACTTACCATTATAATAGCTTGCCAGTATCCTGAATGCAGTCTTATGCCAGCATCGTGATTGATCTTGTTCATGAGGAAATTACAGCCATTTCAGATCACTCTTCCGTGCTAGTCTTAATGTGACTCTTAGGATCATGGAAAGAATTCTGCAGTTCATATACTTAGTAAGGCTAATGTTTTTTGGTATTAGAGTATTTTTGGAATTCGCTCAGATGCTGGTTTTTTTATAGACATTTTAATATTCCTCAAAAATAGTTATCAGAAACAACAGTGTGTAGTTATTAACTTATGGATGTGGAATTATATTGTTCAAGGTGAAAAACCATTTCAGTGCAGTCAGTGCGACATGCGTTTCATACAGAAGTACCTGCTACAGAGGCATGAGAAGATTCATACTGGTGAGTATAGTGCCTTGAGTATCTTTCTGGCGTGCTTAAAAACTGTTTCCCCACTCAGGCAAGGTTTCTGGTAATACGTATGCAGCCTAAAATTCTGTTGTAGTTTGTTTTAACTTAACAGATGTTATAAAACTTTTAAAAATAAATTCGTTTTGTGCTTTCAACTTGCTCCACTTTTCTTTGGCTGTAAAGTGAGTATAAACTCTAGTAAGCAAATCTGAAAGTAGTATTCTGTAAATAACCCCAGAGTAGCAAATCCTGAAGTTTGTGCATTCATAAAAGTCAAGGTTTGTTAAGAAGTTCTATCTTTTGTTATATCAAGTTAACTCAGACAATGGGGACTTCCAAATTACATTTTGGTAGATTTATGTATTTATTTATTTTGGAATTTGATGGAAAAGTGCCAGGACTAAAATGGCCAAAATGCCTAACCCCAAAGGTATTAGTATCAGCTTTACTTTTCACTTCTTTTTTTTAAAGGTTTAATTCAGAACTGTTCTAAAAATAAGAGCCTTAGTTTAAAAATATGCAATATACGTCAAATAAGGCCCGAAGTTTTAAGCCAAAGAGCATTAAAGTTTATACATGTTTATTTTTTTATCTTCTTGCACTGCACAAAACCACATTCTTTAACAGGTTTGGCTTCATTGGGTTTTTGGCATTTTGGTGCATGGCCTTTCAATCCCTCTTTAAATATTTTGTAATATGGTCCCTTTGGACTAGATGCCAATTTCTCAGCCTCTTTTTCAGAAAAGCAGAGCTGGTGAATGTGCACAGTGTTTCTTGGCCGTAGCATTTAAATGGATATGAAAGCTACTAACACGCAGTGCAGTGTGTGCATGTGTAAGAGTTGAGAGGGAGAAAAAACTCTGCAAAATGAATTTTCAGAGCAGTGTACAGGGAGTTACATGCACAAATGCCCTGTTGTTTACGGGATTTTTGTATCCTAGGTTGCCATGAATCCAGACTAAGTAGGTTTCCTTCAGCCAGTCAGCCACAGAAGAGTCCTCCATTCTTCTGTCCAGTGTCTTTGTTCTGCTCCTAGTCTTTCCTCTGGCTCTGAATTGGTGAACCATGCTGCCTCCACTTTGTGTAGATACTATTCTTGAAAAGAATGCTCATTCACTCTCTTCCATCTATCTGCCCATGCCCCCCCACCCCCCAAGGCAAAAATTTAAGTGCAGTCTTTACATTTTTCAGAAGTTTTTTGGTGGTTTTGTTTTTGTTTTTTTTAAATGAGGATTATTCCCTGTATGTGGCTTTGAAAATGAGAGTCTGTGCAATATAGTTAATTAACACTTGACTGCAAATATTTTACAAATGCTTAATTATTTTTTAAAATTCAGCTTCTAGCTCTAATGAGAGTTGTGTGTTGATTGTAAGCTTTGGAGGGAGGGGGTTGTTGTGGTGGGGTTGCAGGTTTTTTGCCTGCCTTTTTGCAGCTCTTACATATACTAGTCTTTGTTTAGCAGAGAAAAAGGTGCCATTTAACTAATTAACCATATTGTTATCGGGCTTTTTTAGATAACTATGTTTTCATCCTTTCCTCAGCATCCTGAGGTATAGTTTGGTTGTTTCTAAGAAAATTGAAGATGGTGCTTGTGTTTAAATTGTTGAATTATAGGTGTTTTCCTAGGTGACAACTAGTAGCTGGTTAGGAGAACACATGTAAGACCCAGCTTCCAGGAGTGGAAAAAGCTTTTTTGAAGGCCGTTCAGTTAGCAAGTATTTGACTAGTGCTTAATTTTTGGCTTGGCCCAGTTATAGTGTAGCTAATTGGCATTCTACATACCTGTCTGTGCTTTCACTTCTGTATGACAATATTCAGTACTGGGCCTTAGCTGTTTGTGTAGCGTTACTCTGTTGTTCAGGACTGCATAATTGAACCCATCCAGAAAAGCTGAATTTTCAGCTTGCTTCTCTCACCAGAAGGTGAGCAGTGGGTCTGTGTTTCACTTTGATGGAAGTAAAGGAAAGCTCTCGTTGTATTATTCATACTCTTTTAAGAAATATTCCTTATAAATTCAATACTGTATTTTTTTCTTCTTATTTTGCATTTTTATCTGTCTGAATGACTGCTTTTAGCACCAGCTTTTGTACAGTGTTCAAAACACTGGTGAACAACAAGATGTTTCTTACTCTTTTAAAGAAGTTTATCAAATTTTCAAGTTTATTTTAAGCCAATCAAAGATAGTGGTAACACTTAGAAGCCCCATTTTATGCCTGTTACAAGCCCTGAGTTTACAGGTGCTTCAGCTAGTTCCAGTGTGATTTGAATTCGGTACTCTGAACCACTCCTTCAAATGAAATGTTATGAGGGAGTTAGGAAGCAATCAATGAACAGCCTTATTCTGTGTAAATAATTAAACAGTTGCATCTAAAAGCAGACATTGCATTAATACAATTATTTCTAGTAAGTGAATTTTGTATGTAGAGCAGGGCAGAAGTGCTAGAACCCTGCTGCTAAACTTGTCACTGATGATACAGAAAATCACAATTTCAGTTGTAAGAGAGGGAAGAGTCATTGGTACACAAATATTTTCATATTTTAGTTTACTAGGCTCATGAAGATGTATGTCTGCTTTCTTTTTGCTCAGAGTTGTTTCTATACACCTTACCCACTCATGTATTCATGTGTCCTAATTCTGTAACCCACCCTACTTTCCATTTTAAACACAAAAAATGAGATTACATTTTTAAAAAAATAAAGCAACATTGGGGCTAACAATTCAAGCGCCTTCTTCAGTCATGCTGCTTTTTTATTGCCTTCTTTGGCATTTTATAATTTGTATTTTGTCTGTTTAGATTTTAAAATGCCTGGGGGTTTGTAATTGTTACAGCCTTCATACACATAGTATTTGTACTACACTTTATAAGGAGTTCTGTTGCTCAGTTTTAATAGATTTCCAACGTAGACACAAAACATAGGCTGTTTTCGTAAATAATGCATATAATTATTGTACTGTATTTTAAAATTTTTACTCTTTTTTTCCCTACATCTGATTCTTTCCCACTCACCAAAGTGTTTCAGAAAAATATGTCCTGGTTTCTCCTTACATTAGCAAAAGGTTGTTAGTAATGATCTCCTCCATTTGCGATAGGTCCTGTTTCAAAAGTACAACGAAATGCAGAAGGCATCTGAAGTTTCAGGCTTCTGCTAGGAAAAAATTATTATAGGAAACATACCTTCATATTAATTTTTAATCTTTTTCTAACATTATCTTCCTTACGAAGATTACAGCAAAAATTATGTATGGTATCAGTTTCACAAAGTGTTTCTTAACCTTACTTCCAGAGTGTTCTGGAATTCAACTGAAAAATACTACTTTCTGTGTTGTGCTGAGTAATTAATTCAAGGGCAGCGTCCCCAAACATTTCTTCCTGTTGAGGCATGGCCAGCAGTGCCTTCGTATGTACTCTCAAAGTCTCCAGAGTAGCTGGTGGTGGTAATACTCTACACTGAAAAACCTCAAAACCCCTGTTTTGCCCTAATTAAGCCTTGAAATGGGAATAGGTAGCTGGGAGAGTCTTCTGCCAACAAATAGCCAGCTTGAGTAGGCAAATGTTAAGGAACTCTGTGACCATTCATTTACAGAAATGGGTATAAGGCTGAAGGTAAGTGTATTAATGAACTGTTCTGCATTTCCTGGGATAGCAGGATAGCTCCTTAAAGGGCTGTTCAAAGCTAGACTGAGCTGTCTAGCTTCTCTGACTTGGTTTGGCTTCTGTAAGGCTCAGGATAGTTTTCATCCCAAACAGCTGCTCCTTTCTCTAAAAAAATTCTTAAGTGTGAAAGCAAACTTCCAGACCATGTAAGGAGAGTCGTCTGAAGGGGCGATTTAAAAGAAACACAAAGTGGAATAGTGGAGCAAAGGGAAAGAAAACAGTAAGTAACAAGGATTAAGTAGCTGTCCTTGGGAATGGAAGAGCTCCCGTGTATTAAACAAGAGCAATGAGACCTAAACGTTTTGCCTTATCTTCTTTAAAAGTGAAGACAAGGACTGGAATTTGATTCAGAAAGTCTCAACAGGCTTGGTGCAAGTAAAACACTGTAGCAGTAAGGGTGCCTAATGAATAAAGAAAACGTGAAGAATGAAACTGGAGTTTGGAAGTTAAGAAGTAGGCCAGAGAGGAGGATTTGCTTGTAGGCATTACAAGAGAGGATTATATGATAGGTGTTATAATTTGTAAAGGGTGCTGAAAAAAGCTAAATATTATGGTGATTATTAATAAGAAATGGTAAAAGTTAGTCTCTGACTAAACGTGAAAGAAGAGTTAGGATGCTGAGGTTGTGAGCCTGTAGAAAAAGAACTGATGGAAGCTGAGAGATCTTAGGAGAGGAGATAATTTGATTTAGGAGAGAATAAATTGGAATAATTTAATCCAAGAAAGGGATTGGCCAACAAGCCACATGGAGAGGTAAGAATTAATAATTGGAAGTAGGGCATAGGCTGACAAAGGTAGAGATTTAGAAATTGCTTGGAATTAAGAAGGTTGAAACTCTGGGCATTAATGATCTGACTAGAAGCAAATGTGTGGGTGATATAGATATTTTCCATTCTAGTTTCTATAAATACTGGCATCTTATTTTAAGGTACCGTATTTCCATTTGTAGAAGGACGTGGCTAAATACCTCTATTCTAAATGGAAAATATACACTCTAACAACATTTAAAATAACATTTATTAACATTTAAATAATTAATTATTAGTAATAATTTAATAAAATTAGTTCATAACATAATTTTAAAGAATAAAACTACCTCAGAAAAATAGAAATAGTCTGCATATTTCTGGAAACAAAAGATAAATGGTTTATATCCCCAAAAGCAGTGCAGTACAGTATCCAGAACAAAGAGGATGTTGACAGAGGCTGCCAAGACAATCCCTGCTCTCTATGTCAGTTGGAAAGATTTCTTAGTAAATATTCAGAGGAAAGATTACTGTTGTTCAGGGTGAGTTCTATTAAATAATAGTGAACTTTTGTAAGAGCAAAACTAAATTTCCAGTGTGCTTGGAATTTTTAGGTTTTGTCAGAGAAACCTAGATAAAAAACAATATCAAAGGGAAGATGTAAAGCAAAAGTTAAAAGAAATAGAAATAGAGTTACTCCATGTTCTGAAAGGATCATTGCAGGGCTTCTTTGTGAGGAAAAATAAGGGGAGAACTGCAGATGAATTCAGGGCAATGAATATTGTCTGAACAAATAATTTCATGAAAGTAAAAACCAAACCAAAACCAAACCAACCAAACAAACCAACCAAACAGAAAAACCCCTAAGTATGCAAACACCAGTTCAGCTACAGAGTTTTCTTGTTTCCAGCTTAATTTTTAAAATAAAATATTTTTTAATTAATTAATTACTTTAAAAAAATAAATAAATTTGGATTCCAACCAAAATACTAGGATTTTTTTCAGAGCAGTTATTTCAATTCTACATACAGGTAAGGGAAGAAAATATGGAAAATACAGAGCACCCTACAAAAATGTTCAATTAAAAGCTTGGAAATGCATAATTCTCTTCTAGAAAGGGTGGGCTTGAGTTAATGAGTTGGTGAGAGAATTGAGTTATTGTTATACAATCGTCTGCCCTAAAAAAAATACTATGTAGCAGCAATTCAGGAAGGCTATCTTTGCAGTTCTTCATTTATTAGGTTTAAGAGAGATATCTGCACCTATACTAGAAAGAGGGGGTAAGAATTTGGTTTTAAAGGTGGGTTTGGTTTTTTTTTTTTTTTTAGTGTAAAAGCTTAAAATCATTTTGAGTCATCAGCTACTGAGTACTGGGAAAATAGTGATGTGAGCAAGCCCTATGTTATTTTTCAATATCAACAGAGTAAATTCTCTTCTTTATTACTTCTAATAGAGAGTGTAGTATTTGACCTGGTGATTGTATGGAGGAACATTGATTTATTTTTTTAGATTAACATTGCTACGTGTTTTTTATCAGGTGAAAAGCCATTTCGTTGTGATGAATGTGGTATGAGGTTTATTCAGAAGTATCACATGGAAAGGCACAAAAGAACTCACAGCGGAGAGAAGCCTTACCAGTGTGAATATTGTTTGCAGGTAAGATGACTTAGTGAAATCTTTCGCAATTGAAAAACAAAACACCAGTCAATTCCCAAGAAGTGCAGATAGGACTTTCTCCAGGTGTTGTAGTCATGTGCATACAAATAAACGTATAATGAATGGTTTTTTTCTATTAAGGTGGGTGGTCTTGGTGCACAGGTGGAGCAGAGTCACAACTGTCTGTGCTTGGTTTTATACTGTTGTTTGACACTTCATTAGAAATCAGTAAAATGGATGAGTTGTCAAGTAAATTTGTTAGAATGAAAGGTTTCTTTTCTTTCTGCTAATATATTTATTTTTCTATAGTAATAATAAAAATCTTTTGCAGTATTTCTCCAGGACTGATCGTGTGCTGAAACATAAACGTATGTGCCATGAGAACCGTGACAAGAAACCGAACAGAAGTGCCACCAAAGTTGGCTTTTTGCCATCGGAGGAAGATTCTGGTTTCTCTACGCCTATGAAAGACAGCTCCTTGCCAAAGAAGAAAAGGCAGAAAACGGAGAAAATGAAATCTGGGGATAAGGAAGGTACAGATAAATCAGAACAGAAGAAGGACAAAAATGACTATTTGCCTTTGTACTCTTCTAGTACTAAAGTAAAAGATGAATATATGGTAGCGGAATATGCTGTTGAGATGCCACATTCTTCAGTCAGCGGAACGCATTTAGAAGAAGCAAATTCTGGAGAAATACACCCACCTAAGCTCGTTCTCAAAAAAGTTAACAGCAAGAGGAGTCTGAAACAGCCACTTGAGCAAAGTCAAACCATTTCACCTTTATCTACATATGAAGACAACAAGGTTTCAAAGTATGCCTTTGACCTTGTGGATAAACAAAGTTTACTGGACTCTGAAGGTAATGCTGACATTGATCAAGTTGACACATTACAGGAAGGGCCCAGTAAACCTGTACACAGCAGCACTAATTATGATGATGCAATGCAGTTTTTAAAGAAAAAGAGGTATCTACAAGCAGCTAGTAATAACAGTAGAGAATATGCCTTGAATGTAAGTACCATAGCATCTCAACCTTCGGTAACACAGGCAGCTGTGGCCAGCGTCATTGATGAAACTGCTACAGCTTCAATATTAGACACACAGGCACTGAATGTTGAAATTAAAGGTAGCCATGACAAAAATGTCATTCCAGATGAGGTACTGCAAACTCTGTTAGATCATTATTCACACAAGGCTAATGGACAACATGAGATATCTTTCAGTGTGGCTGACACTGAGGTGACCTCCAGTATATCAATCAATTCTTCTGAAGTATCTGAGGTCACCCAATCTGAGACAGTTGGAACAAGCTCTCAAGCTTCCTCATCAGATAAAGCTAGTATGCTACAAGAATATTCAAAGTTTTTACAACAAGCTTTGGACAGAACTAGCCAAAATGATGCCTATTTGAACAACCCGAGCCTTAATTTTGTGACTGATAACCAGACTCTTACAACCCAGCCAGCATTTCCTTCCATGGAGAAGGTCTACACGTCTATACCCGTCAATAGCTTTCGATCGGGAATGAACTCTCCATTAAGAACGACTCCAGACAAGTCTCATTTTGGACTAATGGTTGGTGATTCGCAGCACCCTTTTCCCTTTTCAGGTGATGAGGCAAATCATTCTTCTTCCTCCTCTACACAGGACTTCTTGGATCAAGTAACTTCTCAGAAGAAAGCAGAGGCACAGCCTGTTCACCAAGCATATCAAATTAGCTCCTTTGAGCAGCCCTTTAGAGCTCAGTACCATGGGGCAAGAGCTGGAATATCATCTCAGTTTAGCACTGCCAATGGACAGGTGAACCTTCGGGGACCAGGGACAAGTGCTGATTTCCCAGAATTTCCCTTGGTGAATGTAAATGATAGCAGAGCTGGGATGACTTCTTCACCTGATGCCACAACGGGCCAGACTTTTGGCTAAGAAATCTTTGTAAATAATACTGGCACTTTAGAACACATTTGTCAAAAGGGGGTTGCTCTGTATAAGATGGAGTTCTGTACAGCTTTTAAGAGCGCTATGTTAAAACAAAAGTAAGCTGATATTAGCAAGACCAATAACTGCTTTTTTTTTTCTTTCTTTTTTTTCTTTTTTTTTTTTTTTGGTTAGTCACCAGTCATTGAACTGCCTGATGTTGGTGCCCCTATCAAAGGCAGTTTATTATTCATTTGTTTGAATCCAGAAAATATTTTACCTTCTATGAAATTTAAAATAAACAAAATCCCCAGGTAAGACTTTCCCCCATGATTGTTTCCTTACTGGTTTCCTTGTATGCTTTCGGAGGACAGTTTATTGTCTGATGCTATTCATATTGTCATTTCTAAGCTTGTCACTATAGTCATTGCTCTTCAGCAGGGAGTCAACATGTACTAAACACACAGAATGAATAGTAAGTTTCAAAGTCAAGCAAATATGGCTTTAAAAGATGGCATTTTCTAGAAAAATAATCTTTCTTCCATCTCTCTCAAAAATAACTTTAGACCATGTGCCCTTTATTTCTGCTTTGCATTACCTTGAGTTGTGTTTGGAGGAAAAAATGAATTCTGATAGACTAACTCTACTATTTAAAAATCTAATTAATTTAAAATACTTTAGACACTTTTTAAAGCAAAATGCCTAACTGCTAAAGCCTTTACTTCATTCCTGAAGTAATGTGTATTTCTTTGTACAGCTGAATCTAGATGTAACTTTTTAATGACTTTTTCATACGCAGATATCAAGATTTTGAAGTTTTAGTTAAAATACTGTGTAGATGACATTCCCAATTGCATAATGCTTACACAAACTGTGTATTCCAAGATTTAAAAGCTTAATTGTACCTTACCCTACATATTCATAATGATTAACATAGAGCACTTAGTCAACTTGATAGTTTTTGATTTCTCAAAAAATAAAACCATTTTTAGATTTTTAGGTTTGATACGGTTGCATCATTTTCATCTCATACAGCTCCAATAATTCTTTTCAATATACTTGAGATTGGGTATTCTTAGCTTCTGTAAAAACTGTTTTAATTCTCTGTCTAGAATTTTGACAATTCAGATCATTAAATTTATTGAAGTATCCCTGAAAGCTGAAGAAGTGGGCATTCAAATTCCCTATCTTTTTAGTGTTTGCTTAGTAAAAGTCATTATAATTTTACCAACCAAAACTGCTGAATAATGCTAGTGAACAGGATTTCTTTTTCCAGCGTTGGCGAGTGATCAGAAGTTTTCGTTGCATTTCACAGTATAAATAAACCACAAAGTTTATCCCTGTACCATGAATATGTTTTTTTGAATAGTACTTTGTCTTGAAGTATACAGTATGGTACGATAAGTAGTTCTGTGTGCATTTTTAAGGTGGTAAGATTTGAGTAGCATAACTATTGTGTAGTTTAAGTTAACAAGTTACAGATTTTTGAACTGTATGTTCATTCTATTGCACCTTCCCTAAAGGGACACTGTCTGGTAGTTTAAGGCAGTTTAAGCCTAATGTAGGCTGGTTAACCAGGGAAAAACGCACACACACACGTATATATATAGGTATGTATGTATATGGTGTAGTTTTGTTTTGTTTTGTTTTTTTTTTAAATAGGATTGCATACATCCTTTTACAGCACTATTCCTAGCTGGTATCTCTCAGATGAAGCCATCAGCTAGGAGGAAAGACTGTGTCTCAAGGGGCTAAAATATATCCTGTCTTTTAAGAAAGGACTTGAGCAGGACATACAACAGTTCCCACTTCTTCCCAAAGCAGTAGCAATATTTTTCTTAATTTTCATTACTAGGAAACTGATCCCACTCTGTCTCTTTTCCCTTATGGTAGCACTATTATAGCACTAACTTCACTTGGTACAGTTGAGGGAGAAAGTGCATTTATTACCCATAGCTTGCTTCTTATATTTACAAGAAATACAGTTTATGTAAACCTCTTGCATAATATTTTTGTATGAGAAAACAGGTTCTGTTTTGATTCATTGACCCTGTGTATCATATAGGAAGGTGTTTCAGCGTGCTATGACTTACCAGTAATTTTGTCTGAATATTTGGCCCCGAGTTAAGAAGAATGAGCATCAAGGGAGAAAAGTAAATTCCTTATGGATTATTAATGATACATGTAAAGAAGTTTCTTTGAAAGAATATTTTTAAACTGCTTCATGTGTGTCTGTTTTTCTTCCTTTATGCTCAGTTTGATTTTTTTTGACTTTCCATTCTATGTTGCACAGACATAATACATATGACCCCTGTATCCCAGGAAGCCCTCTCTTGCAACGCATGTTTCGTTTTCAGTGTTTCATTTCCATGACACCCTAGCTTGTGCCGCGTGAATAATACTGTGTTGGCAGCTTTGTTCTAATGTCCTGTTGTTGCGAGTAGATGGCCATTAACAGTACTATTTGTTAAATACAACAAGCAGCAAAAGCCAAAAAAAAAAAAAAAAAAGCAAAAAACCCCCTAGATTATTACTGCACTTCTCTGGCCCCATGGGGAGGTAAGAGGAATAAAGCCTCCTTCTGCCTAAGGAGATTGACCGAGCTTTATTTTAAAAAGTTACTGTATTGATACTCTGCTGTGAGAAAGTGATTGAGGAGTAGGATGGAATAGCTCTCGCTCCATGCCATCTTCACACTTAGGAACTGCTGCTTGGGTGCATGAGGGAGCAAGGTATTGTACAGAGTGAAGGAACTTGCTCTTCCATGGAGCAAAGTTGAGAATCCTCTGAGGAACTGTTATTCCTTATGTCGCAGCTCATTCTCTAGCCTGCTGCTGAGCCATTACAGCTATTCTCTGTGCCTTAGGACAGGTTGTAAAGTCCCCATCTAGCCCACAGGGACTGTCTCGCAGGGTTCTTCCATGTGTACAATTAAGGCAGTGGTGTGAGTAGTTTATCTGCTGATGCTTGAAGCTTTCTGTACTGGAGGAGTTAACCAAATATACTGCTATGATTTCCTGAGTACATGCCCTTTTATTCTGGAATAAGTGTGTATGTAGTTCCGGGAGGTTCAACTATGTAAAAAGCACTTGCCTGTTTAATAATTACATTATTTAATAACATTTTCCACTGCTTGTGTTTTGCTGCTTTTAATCTGCTACAGATGCACACTCTTCATTTTGATCTGGTCAGTGTTCATTTTTGTTAGTTTTCCGTGTATGTCTGGAAAAAAGCGACTTTGGTTTTCTGTTCTATTCTTGTACTGATATTGTTCAGTCTGTCAGCATAAGGCTGGGGTGAGCATTTATATTCCACAGAGCTAACAACAGACGTTCTTACTTAAAAGTCATGCAAGCACTGAATGTGTGTGTGTGTGTAGGGTGGAATTTTTTGGGGATATCTCCTAGTGATAGAGCAATGGTGATTTTTAAAAAAAGAAAGTTGATGACATTTATTACCAAACGATATATGTATACACACAATAGATGTGTGTGTGTGTGTATATATATATGCGCATGTATTAATAGGCCATATGTTGGTCCTAAATTACTTGACAGTGTCCCTTTTAGCATGAATCCTTTGATATGTTTTACCATTAATATAACAGACAATGAAGGAATCAGCTTGTAATGGTATACTAATAGGCATTTACATTTTCTTCATTTGATTTGAGAATGAATTACTCATAAATTACAAGGTTTGGGGAGAAGGATTAACCATGTGTATTACTGTATGTTGGTTTACGAATAACAACATAAACAATTTAAATTGGATGATAAAAGAACTATGTTTATGATCTTGTGTCTCCTAGTGTTGTCTTTAGGAAAATTGTGTTTCAAGAAGAAAATAGGACAAGAAAGTGTTCATGTGGAATAACACTTGTATTATTTTTATATTGTACTTGTCAATTTTTTGGATGACAGGAGCTTTTCATTGTTAATTGAGAAGTACAGTAAAATCTTGCTAATTCGCTGACCGCTAATCAGAGCATCTCATAGGTTTATACATCCCTGATGGTCTCTTCCCCACCTCTCTGCAATGGTCTAAAAAGTACTGTAGCGAGGTCTCATATTGGTAATAGTGTACTACTTCACCCAAGTATACTACAGAATCTATAGGAGTATACTGGGAGGTACAAGAAGTATTGAAAACTAAATTACAGTTGTCAAAATAAATGAACAAAGTACATTTTGTGATGTGACATCCTTGCTTTTATTGCCTGCTTCTTCACTATTTTCAAAATTGTCATTTGTAAAGGGTTTCTAAGGCATTGCTGCGAATTATTGGGGTTCTACTGTAACTTTTGGAGTTTATTCTAAAGTATTCATGTTCTCCTATGAAAACTTTCCACTTGGACAGATACATTATATTCCGTGCTTGTTCAGAATATTTTTATAGTATTTGTATCATATGTAGTAACTGTTTGAAATGAACCAGAATATTTGGATGAATCCACTCTGAATTTTGCAGCATTGAATTACTTTATGTATGTATATTTGCTAACTAAATTTTCTTGGTTTTGAGAGCTTTGATTTTTATTCTTCTTTGTCTGCTTGTTTTAATACATTATAAATCACAGGGAAAATCCTAATACTCCTGGGAATCTGTTTGAAAATTTTAACAGGCAGAAATATGCTTATGGAGTTGGTACCAGTACACATGTGAACTTTCAAATTACATGGTTGGTACTGAAGCAAATGAATAACATTACAGTTTCCTAGTGTTAAATGTTTTACTAAAATGAAGCCTTGTAACTTTGAAAGTTCATTCAGCTTACGGTAATGCATGTTTATGTTAGGCATGTAATGCATTTAGCTAAAACTCACTTTGCAAAGGACAAGTTCTAAGAAAGTATTACTGCCAATGAAAAGAAATGTCTAAGTTAAAATTTAAACTTTTTTTTCAGTTTTAAATTGCTTTGTGTCAGGGAAATAAATTTATAGTCGCTTTTGCTCTACTTGGCATATAAAACCTTATGTTTCCTTTTTAAAATTACATCTTTTGGTAGGAAACACAAACTGAGGCAAGCAAACATTTCTAAGAGTTGTTTCTTGCTTTCCTTAATCCAATGGATGGAAAGGTAATATTGTGTAAACAACATTATTTTATTTTTTTATGCAATATCATGCTGTAAATATGATTTATCAAATAAGGATGTACCTATGATTGAATCTTTGATTCTGCACAGCTAGAGTTTATATATAAATATAAATGTGTCTTGACAATCAAGGACTTATGTCAGTCTTCCTTTATGACGTTTCTTATTGTTATGCATTCCATTTGTTTTGACTTGAGTATTTGTATTGTCTGTAAAGTACGTAATGTTTTTATAGCTTGTTTAAAAAACAAACAAAAAAGCCTGTAAATACATAACGAACTGATCACAGTACCGCTCTGTTCGAAGGCATATGATGATGTACTGTTTGTAAGCAATAATACACGACAGTGCTAACTTTACAAGTAGCATAAGGATAAGTTCCAAAAATACCTTTGGGAGTTAATAGCCTTGTTTGAGTTAATGAATATTCTTACATCATTTTTTTAGAAATAAATTCAAATGTCCTCCTGCTGGAGTGTATAACATTGTTTACACAGCACAATTTCAGTCACAGAGGGGACAGTCTTTAGATCTATGGCTTCATCCGTACACTTTTTGAGTAAGAAATGAATGGCTTGGCTGCACTTCTGCAAGATGAGGAAGACTGCAAAAGTTGAATAGCTGTGTCTCTAAAGGATGAGAGATACTATTCTGCTTCTGTGCTGATTCCTGACAATTCCTCTACTTAAATTTGGAGTCTTTAAGTCCTGATATTGAACTGATGAGACTTGGGCCTCCAGTAGAAAGGAGTAGTTCTCTTACTTCATATGCAGATAAACAGTGAACTTACACGTCACCTCTTCATTTGAGTTGCGTATTTTTCAAATTATGAGCTATGAGATGATGAAATGGGTTTATTCCGATAAATAAACTTAATGTCAAACTTATAGTTTGAATTGAATAGGTATTAGACTGTACAGAGCAGCATAACTATTTGAACAGTCATCACTGCTTTAGAACCCCCCCCAATTTATAAATGTATATGACCTACATTTTATAGAAAAAAAAAAATGTTTTTAAATGCTAGTCATTTATATAATATGTGCTTTGAAGGATTTGCTAGTCCACTTCTGTCACTTTTAGTACACTGGTATCTTTTATATGTAATGTATGCTTTTTATTATTATTATTATTATTATTATTGTAGTAAAGCATTTCAGTAGGAAGAATTTTGCAACAGTATGAGGGGTTGAAATTTTCATTGTCAGAAATGAATTATACTGGACTTTGTCTGTGTAGTCTTGTCTTTCTTTTAATGCTGTCTGGAAGGGAGCTTGGTATTCAATAAAGCAAGTGACCTCCTTTTATTTTGAAGGCATACTATGTAGTGCTGAATTGGATCTGGAAATACGATGAATTTGAGGACAGAGAAATTAGTACAAAATCTAGTGTACAGAAGAAATTGTGTTATGAAAAACCTGATGATATATATAGTGGAACACTGTTACAGTGCATTTCCGATATAGTGTTATTTTCCTGAAGTCCACATGCCTTCTTTGTATTTTCAATTAATAAAAAAAAAAAAAATCCGTATAGATAAATTTAGGATAATAGGTTTATTTCAATGATTATACAGCATTTCTTTATCCTACAACATCTATTCCGTCCCTTTAGTATCAGACAAAAGACAGGAACCTGAATTCCATCAGTAAAAGTATGTATATAGGTGAGAGATGGTTTTGTAGGACCCTGAAAAGTATGAATTTGTATATTCCTTATGTTTCTGACAGAAATCAGTGAGTCTTTCTTTATTCCTGTAAAATGAGGATTTTGTGATACCAAGAGAGAGAAAGAGTGTGTGTGTGTGTGTGTGTGTATAGGTACATGAAAGATATTTGAGTCTCATGGCAAAAATGATACAAGTATAAAAGGATTTAATGTAGTTCAACACGTGACTTACATTTAATATGTAAAAGAAACATTTAAATTTCATAATTCAAAAAAGAAAAAATAGTTTTGCAGGAAACAAAACTATTTGGATAGCAGGCTTGACCAAATGAATTTTTTTGGTTAAACTTGATATATTTTAAATGACTCTATTTCTGCCTTTATTTCTGCCCTAAAAGCAACTTAAAATATTTTGGGAGTTACTCTTCCTGTTCATTTGACTGTGAGTGTAATTTATATCATGGTTTACAAAATGTGGCATGAAGGATTGGATTGTTTTATCTGTATAATACAATGAAAGATTGCTTTTTTTTTTTTTTTTTTTTTAAATAATCATGGTGAATGGTATTGTATTCTTAGGACTGATTTATTCATTAAGTGACTTAATGAGTTTCATCACTTTTGACATTACTGTTTTCTTATGGTTAACTTAGTCTTTTTGGGTTTATAATACCCTTCTATGTATTGTGATACTAAGGGAAGTTATGTTTTTGCTTTATTTTTAATTAAACTAATAGTTTGATAATTTATATTTGCAAATGATGCATTTTAAATGTGGTCACTTGCTGTTTGAAAAATAAAAATATAGAATACTGTTTTATGAATAGACTTAGTATTTTTCATGTTAGATAATTTCAAACAAAATCTGCTTTCTTAATGAGACAGATGAAGGCATGTAAAGATAAGTGTCATGCAAGAACTGAAGTGGATACTTTCAACAACTAAATGAAATACTTAAATATTTGGTTTGAGACATACAAAACTTATGTGGGTTTTCTTCCCCTTTGGATCTCCTTCTTGCCTCCTCTGATTATAGAAAACAGAGTATCTGACCTTAATTTTAATCCCGGTCGTCTTAGAAGATTGCACTGGAATCACTTTAATAGAAACACCCAGTATTAGACCAGCTTTCCTTTCGTGATTTTTTGTTTGCACTAGAGGGAATTCATTCAGTGCCAGCAACTCTTTATGTAAATGAGAATCAGGACTTTGTTTTAAGGTGAACTTGATTACTCTAAGTTTTCAAGTCTATAGGATAACAATATGCTGTGTGCGCACCACATAATTTTGTAGCGTGTTGTATACAGAGTATTCGTTACATAGATTTTTCTATCATTGAAGCAAATATTTAAAAAATATTGAAGATCATAGCGTTTATGCACTTACAAAACCAGAAATGTGTCCCATAGCATTAATTACTGATAATTTAGTATTCTCGCCTTTATTTATTGATGTGTTAAAGGCATTGTTTTCCCTGAATCTTTTGGTAGGGTCCCTTCTGATAAAGACTTGATTTTTGTGAAACGCGCAGCTCTGTTGATTTTACTTCATATAAGAGCAAGTTTTATGTAAGAAAACGTTAAAAGCCCCACACTACTTTTTAAAGAGGAAAAAAAAATCTAGTGAAGTTCTGCGTCAAGACTTGAGCCGTGATGAGATGAGCACTGCAGGAAGAGCTGTGTGGGTCTAGGATGTCGGTGGCT